TCATCTCAATTATAATACATTCATATGATGGAAATGCAAAAATTACTTGAAAATGCTGTGAACATTTACAAACATAAAAGAATGTCCTCTATGTCCTGAGTCCCTGTGTTGCCACTAATGTAAAGTTAATGCAAACACACACACAAGTACATGTGGACTTCTAGAATGGCCATTGTAGAAATATCAGCCATGATGCTTTCTGGTTGGGAGTGGCTTGAGTGGTTGATTTTACTTTCTTCTTCCTTTATGGGGCCGGGGAGATGGCTCAGTGGAATAAGCGCTTCCCTGGCAGCGCAAGGGCCTGAGTTCAATCCCCAGTTCCACAAAAATAAATACATAAATAAAACCATTTTCCTTTATGGTTTCTAAAATCACAAAGTTATGTTCTTTATTGTTTACTTAATAGCTCAAACTAACAGTGTGTCTTATGTGCCAGGTACTGTACTAGTTGCTAAGACTATCCTTCCTGAATACAGTAATAAGAAATTATAGAATATACTGAAGTCCATTCCAGGAAATGATGGAGCCTGGGTTCAAAACTGGACAGTCTTGCTCCTTAGACTAGACTCTTGCTACACTAGTTAGCCCAGTGGTGTAAAAGTCTCTGAAATCCCAGCCTCCTCAACAGTTCCACTCCTTTTTCAAAAGTAGCAACTGTTAGCTTTGTGGAAGAAACCTGTAATCACAGCACTCTAGGAGACTGAGGCAGGAGGATGGAAAATTTGAGAGGGCTGAATCCTTAACCACTAGACCACCAGGGAAGATTGGAAAATTTGAACCGACAGAGTGCAATGTAGTGAGACCCTGTCTCAAAATAAAAATACACAAAAGGGCTGGGATGAAAGCTTAGTGCAAGACCCTGGGTTCAATTGCAGTAACATACACACACACACACACACACACACATACACACACACATATTCACCCCCACCCCCCTACACACACACCTCAAAGTGTCCAGGGAAAGTTTTGGAAGAATGCATGTTGAATGGTTAACATAGGTTATTTTCTTGTGTGTGTATGGGGTGTGTGTGTGTGTGTGTGTGTGTGCGTGCATGTATACATGACATGCTTGTTGTTGTTCTGTTTTGTAAAATGGGATGGTGTCTTTCTCCCTTCAGTGTGTAGAGTTCGCCCTCAAACTTTGTATTTACCTCTGGAGAGCAGACAGTCTGCAGCAGAGATGTGTGCAACTGATGGAGCTATGTTTTCACTGGAAAACTGCTATCATTTGGTTCTTCCCCATGAAGCCAGAGCTGTAAGGAGTGTCCTGTCTGTGGTTTTTGGTGTAGATACGTGATGGATCCCTATAACATGGATCCCCATAAAAGGTGCGCACACTAAGCCAGAAGATGCCTGCATTGAGACAACTATGCCATTGCCCCATAGTATTTGAGTTGCCAGGGCCTTGGGTTTCCACCAACAAACAGCACGTCAACTTTTAAATTTTTACCAATATGAGAAGTGAAGACTTATTTCACTTGTAGTAATTTAAAGCCCTTGATTATCAGTGAAGTTGAGTATCGTGTCATTCATTTCTTCTCAGAATCATTCACCTTCTATTGGATAATTTGAGTTTTTCTTATTAATTTTTAGGAGCTTTATTATGAATATTTGTCTTTTGATGCTCTGTTTGTTGCAAATATTTTTCCTAGGACATTACTTATCTTTGAACTTAATGTCTTTTTAAAATTTTTTTCATTTTATGTATTTGGTACAGAGTTTCACTACGCAGCTCAGATTTGGAGTGATCCTCCTGTTTTCAGCCTCCCCAGTGCTGGGATTACAGGCGTGTGCCATCAGGGCCAGACTCAGTCGCCACCTCACTGCATCCAGGGGCGGGGCCAGCAAGGCATGCAGGACCAAGGATAGAACCCTGGTCCCTGTTCTTGCCAAAGCAGGCACTTAGTCCACCCATCTATCTCACTGGCCCCAGTTAATGTCTTTCTTGGATGAATTTTTTTTTTTATTTTTATGTAATCAAACCTTTCAAGTTTTTCCTTTATGGTTTTATATCTTGTTTAGGATGTCCCTCTCCACAATATTCTCCAAGAATATTCTCCTGCATTCTCTTCTAGTACGTTTACATTTTTTTATAGGTTTGTTTTTATGTTTAGGCTTTAATTCACAAAGAATTTAGTATTATTTATTTAAAAGAGAAAAAGAAGGGCCAGCCAAATAGCTCAGCAGATTAAAGTGCCTGCAAGCAGGTGCAGGGGCCAGGGGTTCGATCACCAGGTCTGCTGTGCCGGCCCCACCCCTGGGGTGTGCTGAGACAGCAGTTGAGACTGGGCATGGTGGTACGCACCTGTAATCCCAGCACTTGGGAGGCTGTAAACAGGAGGGTCACTATGAGTCCAATCTACATAGTGAGACTCTGAACACCCTGTAGGCCCTTCCCTAAAATACAGAAAAAATTAAAAATAAAAAATAAAAGAGAAAAAGAAGAAAAATAGAAATAAAAATAAAACAGTTTCACAACAGCTTAATAGGAGAGTAATAATAATTAATACATTGCATATTGTTGTCTTCATATTAGTTACTTAGTGTAGAAGATATAGGTATAAAATACTATTAACACTGGAGCCGGGGAGATGGCTCAGTGGAATAAGTGCTTCCCTGGTAAGCTCAAGGGCCTGAGTTCAATTCCCGGTTCTGAAAAAAAAAAAATACTATTAACACAAGCCTTTCTTTTCATTAAACTAAGAGAAGCTAGCTGTATAATTGTCTTAACTATCTTGTATAAATACATTTTTTCCTTTTCCTTCATTTTCCCTTTCCTGCAGCAGTTTCTCTTTTCTTTTGAATGGCTTCTTCCCAGTTCACAATAGGTATTATACATTTTAGATCTTCTTCACTCACTCAGTTTCTTACACTAGTGAAACAATACAGTGTTTACACATGTGGATCTGATTCATTTCACTTAGGTGTCTGGTCTCGAGCTGTATGCATTTACCTATAAAGAAATTAGTATTATATTTGGTGAAAAGTAGGGATTTAAACCTTCTTAAATTTTTAAGTTCATCATGTTTTAAACAATACCTTCAGCAAAACACGACTTCCCGTGGGTGCCCTGTGGACTTCAGGACTGTATCTCTGATCTGGAATTATACTATTTTATTTTTTTTTAATTTTTATTTTTTGGTGGTACCAGGGATCAAACTCAGGACCTTGTGCTTGCCAGACAAGCACTTATTCCACTAAGCTATCTCCCTGGCCCCTCCTACATTGTTTCATTAAACATTTCAGCAGCAAGATTTTTTTTTTTAATGTATTTAGTACAGGGTCTACAGGGTCAGACTCCTAGTGCGTACCACCTGGGCATGGTGGTACGCACCTGTAATCCCAGGTCAGACTGGGCATGGTGGTACGCACCTGTAATCCCAGCACTTGGGAGGCTGTAAACAGGAGGGTCACTATGAGTCCAATCTACATAGTGAGACTCTGAACACCCTGGTCAGACTCCTAGTGATCCTCCTGTTTTCAGCCTCCTAAATGCTGAGATTACAGGCACGTGCCACCATGCCCAGTCTCAAATGCCATCTCAGTGCACACCAGGGGCGGGGGTGGCACAGCATGCTGGGGATCAAAACCCATCGCTGCACTCTGCCTAAGCAGGCCCTTTAGTCTGCTGAGCTCTCTGGCCAGTTCTTCAGCAGCAAGTTTTTGCATCTGCTAACACTATCGTATCTCTGTTTCTCTTCTTTTTTAAACTTTCACTAACCCTCTCTCTAGATACATACCTTTTCAGAGGAACTTCAGAATTAGATAATCACAACCCTAAAGTACTCCCTTGAGGTTTCAGTTGGGCCAGACAGAAGCTACTCACTAACTGGAGGTTAACATCTTACAAAGGTGAACTAGGGGCCTACAGCCCAGCTCTTGCTTCCCTGGCCGCTCTCCAGGATGCGCCAAGCTGCCTGGCATGTGCAGGGAGGAGTGCTGCTCTGCTTCCTGTCCAAGGCCTTTTTGCCTGATCACCCCTACCTCCCCTGGAGTTACCAGGCTTCTTGCAAAGACAAAGTCACGCACATCCCTGTCTCAAGTTCTGTGTGTCTTCTAATCACTTTTGGTCTTGAACCTGACAGCTAAAATCCAGAGTGATGAGGACAGAAACCTCAACCCTCCAGCAGAACCCAGAGGAGATAATTTTGTTGGAGAACAGGGTCCTTGCTCCTGGTAAACCACATTTAACGCTCACTGTGACCAGCCTGGGCCACCAGGTTCTGGCTGAGACTTTTTAAAAAAGCTAATGTTATAGAATAATCTCAAATTGTCTCATTTTAAGAGTATAATCATTTTTAATGAATGTTGAAATTGCACAACCATCACCATATTCCAATTTTATTTTATTTGTTTTTAAAAAATTATTTATTTATTTGGTACAGGATTTCACTACACAGCTCAGACTTGTAGTGAGCCTCCTGTCTCAGCCTCCCCAGTGCAGGTATTACAGGCATGCACCATCATACCCGGCTTCATATTCCAATTTTATACTTTTTTTTTTTTTAGTTAAAATAAATTTTTTTTTGGTACTAGGGATTGAACTCAGAACCTTGCACTTGCCAGGCAGGTGCTTATGCCACTGAGCTATCTCCCCAGCCCCTCATATTCCAATTTTATTTATTTATTTATTTATTTATTTATTTATTTATTTATTTATTTTGCAGAACCAGGGATTGAACTCAGGCCCTTGTGCTTGCCAGGGAAGCACTTATTCCACTGAGCCATCTCCCCGGCCCCTCATATTCCAATTTTAAAACACTTCCATTACTCCAAAAAGATACCTTATTGCCCATTTGTGGTCATTCACTAGATGCCACCTTGCCCGTAGTACAGTAGCATCAGGAGGAACAGGGGCAGTGAAGACACTGCTTGTCATGCAGGACCCATACCCTTGGTGAGATGGGGTCATAGCTCTAAACTCTGCTTGGGAGACCCAGGGAAGACCTGCTCCTCAGGGACTGACCACACTGAGCTCCATCCTTACCCCTTTCCAGGTGGATAAAGTTTGAAGAAAAGGTAGAAGAAGGAGGCGAACGCTGGAGCAAGCCCCACGTGTCCACACTGTCCCTGCACAGCCTCTTCGAGCTCCGGACCTGCCTGCAGACAGGGACGGTGCTGCTGGATCTGGACCGTGGCTCCTTACCACAGATCATAGGTGAGGCAGGGCCACCTCTGGTATCTTTCTTGTGGTGCCCACAAACCAGGGCAGCTTCCCTCACCTCATGCCCACCTGCCAGTCTGTGGGACTGGCCTGTCCTTGATACCTGCCTGATTCTGCAAGGACCAGGGGCTGATGCTTCCCAGGTCACATCCCAGAAGCTTCAAGGTTTGGCACCATTTGGAGCTTCCATGGTGAGGAAAAAATCGTCCTCTGAAATGCTGTTCGGCAATGCAGCAGAATGGGACAAAGGCCTCCTAATGAGGTCAGGGATACCGGCTGCCATGACAACCTGTTTCTTTTTAGGATAAAATGGATCATTAGGAAATTAACTCCCACTTAAAGGATTGTCAGATGGAGGAGGTGGCTTGCCTTTGTTGTCCCTAAGAGTGTCTATGAATTTCGTTCATGATCTTGCCAGGAGTATTTTACCCAATGTACCTTTCTAAAGGTTTAGGATTAGACCTAGGTAACACAGTTCTTTTGTGTTTCCTGGGTATTCATATGTACTACTTCATTAATTCTTCATAACATTGATAAGAAGAGCAGAAAATTTTGTACATACCTGTACATGTGTGACACACACACATGCACATACACACATACACACACCCTGTACATGAAGAGACTGAAGGTCTGTGATGTGTATGTCTAGTTTTCTACCATTAGTAGCAAAGCCGGGACTATTTCCATGTCCTCTTGTCACCTTAGCTCACTTGCAATCCCACTAATGACTGGTAAAACTGAAGACCCTGTACCTTGGTTCTATTCTGTCCCACACAGACAAGGCATGTTTATTTCCCACCCAGATGATGTCATTGAGAAGCAGATTGAAGATGGCCTTCTGCGGCCAGAACTCCGGGAGAGGGTCAGCTATGTCCTTCTGAGGAAGCATCGCCATCAAACTAAGAAGCCCATCCACCGCTCCTTAGTGGACATTGGAAAGTCGGTCTCCTCTACCACGAGTGAGTTGGGCTATCTGTGGGTGTCCATTGACTATGGAGCAAGTCTCAGGCCCAGGCCCAGGCCCAGGTGAGCCTGCCCTGGTGGCTGGGAATGTCTGACTTCATGATTCTAGACAAATTCTAAGGCTTAGGAGAATTCCTCAGGCTTCTTCTCTAGAAGGCCTTGGAGGTCCTTGGCAACACCCCAATGTTTTCCCTACCACTGGAATAGAGATTCTTGGGAAGGGTTGCTTCCCAGCCCAGAACACACATTACTGCTCTTTGGGGGTTTGATGAAACAAGTCCTAATGCATGGAGAATTGGATTCAGTGATCTGGAGTATGGCCCAGTTAGAGGCAGGTCAGAAAGCTCCCAGGACTCCTTGTGCACATACTATTTGAGGACCTGTCCAGGATAGTGCACTTAGGAAGGCCCTGGGAGCTTTTTATGGGACTCCCAAGGAAAAGCCAAGAGCGCTGCAGAAAACAGAGCTTGCAGAGGCAATAGATGCCCTTCTTGAAGATGCCAAGGCTCACACCCCTGGCAGCAGAGCAGCAGAGCTCATTCTGAAGAGCAGAGCAAAGGGCCACCTGGGGGAGCAGTTGCCCACTTCCAGCCCTCCTGAGGGTCTGAGTCAAGATGCCCTGAGCTCCTGGCCCTGCTGAACCTGTCAATTAAATGCAGGAGGCAGGATAGATTTGCCACAATTACTAAACAAAGGCCCTTAAGGAAATTATTTATATGAATTATGTGAATATGGGAACATATTGGGCATACCAGAGTGACAGCACACTCAGAGCTCTCCAAGGCCCAGACACTGTGAGTGTCTTCTTATAGGAACTCACTCCATCCTTACAATCACCTCTGGTAAATGTGTTGTCCTTGTCGTCTGTCAATCCATCATCCTCAGTTGAGGTGCCCAAGGCACAGAGAGGTTAAGTAGCTGGAAGTGGTGGAGTTAGAAACAAACCCAAGTAGTCTCTTACTCCTAGTGCCAAATAAACAGTTATATGCATCTCGATTTAAATAGTGCAGATGTTTTCTCTGTAATCTTATTCAAACTATAAACTTTCTCCCCCTCTGTCCTCCCCAAAAAAGAAACTTTTTCCTGGGAGAGGAAGAAACCTGTCTTACAACCCAACTTTATTTAGTTAAATGACTGTACAAGGACACCAGGCTAACCCAAGAAGCTGCCTTGCACCAGCCATGCCAAGGCTGCCCAGTGGTCTCTGTTCCTCTCCCAGGCCGGAGCCCTGCCCGGAGCCCTGCCCGGAGCCCTGCAGCTGGCCCAAGTCTGCGCCGTTCCACTGAGGACCTGAGGATGCGGCAAAACACAAATTATGGACATCTGTGTGAGTGTGTTCTGTCACTGGGTGACAGCTTTGTTCTGGCTGTGAAAGCTGTGTATGACCACATTTCCATGGGTGGAGGAGGAGAGCCCAGGATCTGGCTAGGGCGCTTGGGGTGTGCACAAGGAGAAATCTCATGTTCACCTTGTACCCGGGCTGTCCTCAGCACCCGAGTCACAACCATGAAGTCCAAATAATTCTGAAAATTGAGATCATAAGTCAGTTCCTGACATGATCAATACCAATCCTATATTCTATTCATGTGGATCATAGTCTGTACCTGGGTTTTCATGAAACAGATCATTTGCCCTGTTTTCTGATGAGTAATGTTTTCTAGAGATGGAATTAAAAGCTTTGCAGATCCTTTCCCTCCAGGGCAGTTGGACAGTGTTACCATTCCTGGTAACAGCCTGCCGTCACCAGACGGAGGAAATGTGGGCAGAGCCACAGGGATGGACTGGGGCGCCTGAGAGGTCAAAGGTCACAGACAGACCTTTTCTGGTGGCACATGGGGGTGAACAGTCAGATGAGCTGTGAGGAAAGAGAAGAGAAAGATTGGGAAATGAAGAAAAAAAGAAAAGGCAAGGTGAAGGATTTTTTTCCTCCAGATACTTGACTATGCCTTGAGCAAACTGGAGGGAAGACTAGGGCAGGTGGCTGTCTGAGTTTCTCTTTGTCCTAATGCCCAAGTCTTCTTAGTTTCCTCTGACCTTATTATTCTACTTAGGGCTGCCACGGCCACTGTTCAGTAGGCAAGAAGGGGCTTTAGAAAGACTTTCACTCAGTGACCGCTGTGTGTGGCATGCACCCCACCCCAGGTTGGCCCAGGGCATAAACCCTAGTTGGGGAAGCCTCAGAGAGAAGAAACACATAACCAAGTCTTGGAGAACAAAAAAGGGTTTTTCAGAAACAAGGGGCAGGGAAAAAAAAAGACATGTGAGTGCCTGGTCTCCTCTAACAAACCTTTTCCTTCTCTCCTAGATCACGCCCAGAGCAGAAGCATGAATGACATTTCTCACACTCCAAACACAGACCAGGTAGTAAAGCCTCTGAATGTGACAGCATCAGAAGCCCATGGTAGGGAGAAGTCTTTGGTTTCAGAGGCAGAGACCCTTTGGGCAGAACCCTGCTCCCGAGAAGGAGGGCAGTCCCAGCTGTTGGCTTCTGTCAAGTGTGGGGAGGAGTGGGCGACAGAGAACGTCATCAGATCAGGTGCTGCCTGTCTCTGAGCTTGGGATTTTGTTGAGGAGAGAAAACCAACACACATAGCTTCCTTTCTCCTATAACCCTATAATGCCTTTATCAATAGACAGCACAGGAATTGGAGCTGGCAGAGAAGAGGAAGTGAGCCTTTCCATGGAGAGAACAGTGACAGCTAAGTGGTTGGATGCCCCAGCATGTGTCACCTTGCTCAGATAGGGCAGGAGAACATGGACCCTGGTCCCCCACTAGCAAGCCTGAAATACCCTTGATGAGATCAGAATCTTTCAGATTCTAAAGGGCTATAGCCAAGAACCTGTGACTACCTGGGGAGGCTGGGAAGGCCTCTCAGTTCTAACTCCTCCATACCTCAGGGCCCTGAGACTCCATGGTTCACTCATCTGTGTCTCTAGGTGTAGGGTGATGATGAAACCTGAAACCTGAAGAAGGGTTCAAGGTGGTGAAATGGGAAGAAGCAAAATATATCACATGCAGGTACAAATTCCCTATGATGAATGTGATCATTGGGCATATCTAAAAGGTACCAATAAAAATTTTTAAAATGAAAGAAGAAGAAAGAAAAGAGAAACATGAAACTCAATGAGAAGTCCTCAGAAGCTTGGGTGACCTCCAAGCCTTTAAAGCACCCCCCAGTTTGGTAGAAGGCAAAATGAAAACAGTCCCTTGTGTCAGTGTCAGGGAGACTTTTGTGGCCAAAAGACTGAAACAGCAATAACGTTAACTGACAATTAAGGCCCACATGCTACATGTGCTACTCTGTGTGTTCATGAAGCTATTGATGGGAGATCACTGAGCCTTGCAGCAGTTCAGTAACATGCCCCACTTCACCCTGCTGCAAGGTGGCTGGACCCAGATTTCACCCAGGCAGTCTGACTCTGGGTGAGAGAACCCTATTTGGGAATAATTCAGGGACCAGTCAGTATTCTGAAATATTATTTGGAGAAAAATACCACTTTGTTCTAGTCCTGCACACAAAACAGTAGAGCCATGATAAGAAAGCATTGTCTGATGAAGATCTTTTTTTTTTTTTTTTTTTGGTGGCCCACTCTGCCCATCCTAGGGGAGTGGTACCCGGGATTGAACTGTAGTCTCTGAGCACTCACCTAAGCAGGCGCTTTAGACCACTGAGCTATCTTGCTGACCCTGTCTGGTGAAGATCTTTAATGACCTATTTTAGTAAATGCATAAGTGGCAAGAGCCACTGGCTGTCCCTTTTACCAGGCAATGATTCCTTGGTACAAGGACTGGAATCCAGCACCTGGTGCCAGCGTCTACTCTCCTGGCTGGTGCCCACATCTGCCTCTCAGTTTTTGCACACCTGTGCCTTAGACCTCAGAATGCTCCTAAGTGCAAGCCTGGAAGCATCTGTCCTGCAGATTCTTCGTCCTTAGTTTGTGTAAAGCTAAACTGCATGCCTACCCCAGTGGGCTCCTGGTGAACAGAGTGGGTACCCTGCCATGTTGCAGTGAGTGTGTGTGCTGAAGAGCTGGGCCAGGATCCCCATGGGTTTGGGAAGTAGGGTCATTGAAATGCTGATTGGAAAAACCAGAGTAGGTAGAATGCCCCCCAACCCCACTTCTGGGATGCCGCCACCCTGACCCCCTGACTAAACAGGTCCTAACCTGCAAGGAAAGACCAAGGCCCTCTTTCAGTTCCTCTTCTGACCTGGATTACCAGTGGGACGGCTGGGCCACTCCAAAGTGCTGCTTCAAAAGCCTTGTTCTCTAAGGTGCTCCACCTACCCCACCTCCCCTGTCCCTGGCACTCCCCATCCACCCTGATATCCCAAGGCATGAAAATGGCACAGGGAAGGTGGCTTCCCTGGCACCCAGCCTGTATCCCAAAGACAGCTTGTCATTCAGCTGATTTTGTCTGGGATAAAGGGATTGTGTGAGTCTTGGACACTGCCTTTCTTATCACCTCAGCCCTTGCTTAATCTCACTACAGCAGGATCCCTGGGGTTGTTGTTGATTGCCTGGGTAAGAAGCTTGGTTTTTCCCCCCATTGGCTTTAAAACACACTTAAAGGTGCATTCCTGGCTCACATGCTACTCCTCATGCTCACACGCCACCCAGTTCAGTGTATTACCCCCACCCCAGCCAAGGGCCAAACCAGAAAACAGTTGTGGGCACAAAGGGGAAACCGGTTAGAAGAGACACAAAGGACCTGTGTGTTCACAGTAACAATGGGAAGCAGACATCCTTTGATCTTCCTGCCTTGGGCAGACTGTAGTCAGAGGCACTGGAGAGAGGCACCCTGACAGTCACAGTGGGAAAGCCTCAATAGTTATGAGTTTGTTAGGAGGGCCTCTGGAAGGGACCTGGGAACATGGGAGTCTCCCACAGATTTCAAGACTGGCCAGGATTCCTGGGAACTGGGAAGCTGGTGGTAACGAGAAAACCTGTCTGCCCTGACCACCACAAGAGTACATCTTCCCTCTGCCGCCACAGGTGGAGGCAGAGATTCTGGGAGGTGGGTTGCCATTGCTAAGACTCCTATCTGCTCAGAGAAAGGAGACTGCAGGTGATGCCTGGGGGCCCATCAAGCTCCAAAGTTATTTCCTTCATCCCCTTACCCCATATTTGAGCACTTTTCACCCATTAAGGGGTGCTTTAGGGGTCAAGTCATTTCAGGTTCTTTCCCATCTCTAAGGGCTTCATAGGTTTCTAGGAGAGTATGGGTTATTTTCTTTTAGACTCTTTTCTTTTTCAGTACTGGTAACTAGACGGAGTCCTGTCCCTGAGTTACATCCTCAGCACTTTTATCTTTGATTTTGAGGCAGTGTCTTATTAAGTCACTGTGTTGCCCAGGCTGGGCTCGAACTTGCCATCTTCCTTCCTTTCTCTCTCAGAGTGCTGGGGTAGCATGCATGTGCCACCAGGCCCAGCCTCTTTTAGTCACTTAAGAAATTCCCAGAGCATCTTTTGAAGCTAGACCTTTAGCACAGACTGAAGAGGAGTGAGGGAATAAGAGTGTGTGGAGTATTCTTGGGTGTCTCTTTCCCCCCTCCCTGACAGAGGAAAAACAAGTTCATGAAGAAGATCCCTAAGGACTCAGAAGCCTCCAATGTGCTTGTGGGAGAGGTGGACTTTCTGGACCAGCCTTTCATTGCCTTTGTGCGTCTCATCCAGTCAGCCATGCTGGGAGGAGTGACTGAAGTGCCCGTTCCCACTAGGTGAGAGCACCAGAACCTGTGGCCACACCTGTGGCAGGGGTCAGCCTAACCCCAGCATGATGTCAGCAAGCAGGGCTGTTAGGGCCTCTCTTCCAAAAGGAGAGAGGGAAATCTTCTGACCAAAGTGGAAATTTAGAGGGTTTATTTTAAATAATCCTAAAGAAGAAAGAAAACCTGATGGGTAGACTTGGGCATCAAGACAAAGTGAAGAGTTGAGAGGAAGCTAAAAAGGAAATGTTTTTCCATTGAATCTAAGATTCACAGGAGAGAAGTTTTAAACGCTCGACAACAGATACTTTTGAAGACTGAAGAATTCTTCTTTTCTGGTTTTCTTGTTCATTTTTCCTTCTCCTCCTTCATCTTTGTAGATTTCTGTTCATACTGCTGGGGCCTTCTGGGAGAGCAAAATCCTACAATGAAATTGGCCGTGCCATTGCGACTCTCATGGTGGATGACGTAAGTGGTAACAAGAAGCATGTGATACTGAATGTCATGGCTCCTGCACCAAGGACTGCATTTGCTGAGTTATTCAACAGGGACATTGGAACCTCTGTGTAGGGTACTGAAAATATTGAAATTCAGGGAACAGCCACTGCCTTTTAAGAAAAGAAAAAGAAAACCTGTAATAACAAAATTACTCACGTTAGCTGCCCAAGGAATTAAGAAGTGCTTCACAGATGAGAAGTCTTTACAGCATAGGATGAGCAGGAGACAGACCCAGCACGAGCTCAGGAAGCAGGCATTCTAGACAAAGGGATGAGGGCTAACCTTTGACAAGGCTCAAAGAACCTAGATGCAAGTGGTGATGCTAGGCTCTGTCTAAGAACTCCAAGGGTTGGAGGTGACACCAGACAGGTGAACCAGAGAACACACAGAGCCTGTGGGCAGAGCCTAGCAGTCAGTCTGCACCCCCAGAGTGATGGGGAGCTAGAGGACTGTAGATACAGGCAGAACCCAAACAAATCTGTGAGCCAGAAACAAGCTCTGGATATGGCATGCCCCCTGAGGCTCTTCCAGCAGGGTGGGCAGCACGTAACAAGGGCATCAGAAGCATATGAGCCTCTCAGACTAGACGGGAGGTTTCCTAGTGTGCTTTCTCTGTGAGAAATTAAGCAAGGAAGATCAGGTAACTCAAACGAAGTCCTACAAAAGGATTCTGGGGACCTGAGCTTTAGTTCCAAGGTGCCAGCTCTTTCCATTGGAGGTTTTCCCATTCTGTCTTCCCTGCCATGACATGTTCTCAACCCTGCAGCTGATTGAAGGCAGGCAGCAGAACCAGTGGCTAAAAGGGATTCCTCTGAAAGCAGTTGTGCCCTGCTTCTGAGAGGTGCACCAATGGGGATACGAGAAGGAGGGCTGACCCTTCTGTTCTCCATGGTTTCTCACCAGCTCTTCAGTGATGTGGCCTATAAAGCCCGCAATCGGGATGATCTGATTGCAGGGATTGATGAGTTCCTGGATGAGGTCATCGTCCTTCCTCCTGGAGAATGGGACCCAAACATTCGCATTGAGCCACCCAAGAAAGTACCCTCTGCAGACAAGAGGTGGGGCAGGGGGAGGGGAAGAAGGGAGAGAGGCAAGAACAAAAGGGGCTTGGATTTTATTGGTATCTTTCAATTTTGCTTTGTAAAAAACTGGAAGCATATATGATCAAGTGGAACATGGGTAATATCGATCATTTTCTGCACCTTTCCCTGTCTTTTAAGATACTTTGTAAATTTGTGGAGAGATGAGGGGTATACTCGGAATAAGTGGACCCTTCACTACTTTGAGAGCCCCACTCCCTACACCTCTTTCTCTTCCAGGAAATCCGTGTTCTCATTGGCCGAGCTAGGCCAGATGAATGGCGCAGTGGGAGGAGGCGGCGCGTCTTCCGGCGGAGGAGGCCCCGGTGGTGGAGCAGGGGGCAGCGGGGCCAGCGGAGCAGGTGGTGGGGATGACGCAGAGATGCCCGCTGCGCATGAAATTGGGGAGGAGCTCATCTGGACAGGAAGGTGCTCAGCGCAACCCGAAACAGACCTGCTGACCCCTTGACCTCTCTCCTCAACTCTCCTTCATGTCCTGGGAACCCACTGTGGGCCACTGGGGCCTTTCCTTCCCTGTGTCCTCCTGGATCCTGAGAAGCGTTGCCTCAGGAGAGGGGAATGGGGGACCCAAACTTTTCTCCATATACACTTTGTTGTAGGTATTCATTCTTCAGGGCTTCCAAGACAAGTACAGAAAGCTAGGTGGCACAAAACAACAGGCAAGTTGTTCTCAATGCTAGAGAACAGAAGTTCCAAATCAAGATGTGAGCAGGGCCCTGCTCCCTGGGAGGCTCTTGCAGGGTCCTGCTTGGTCTCCTGGTTTCTGGCAGTGCCAGCAGTCGTTGGCTTGCTGCTGCAGCTCAGTTTCCACCCACATCATCATGGGGCCTTCTGCCTGTGTGTCTCTGCCTTCCTAAAGCATCACCCTTGTTGTATAAGGTCACCAGTCAGACTGGATTAGAGCTCACCCCCAAGGACTTCATTATAGCTTGAGCATATACACAAAGGCCCTATTTCCAAATAATCATATGTTCTGGGATTAGGTATTTAATACAACTTTTGGTGGGAACACAGTTCAATCCATAGTAGTACCTTTTTAAATACCTTGATGTTACCCATACAAAAACTTCATTTTTCTGTCTTCTAAGGGAACAAGAGAAAATTCTCCTAACTTGGGTTATTTGCCAGTTCTTGGGGTCACTCAGGTGGATCAAGATTTAGGAAAGGACTTAGCCTGCAAACCCATGTGCAGATCATGAATCTGAGAATGTCATATTTATGATCCTTAGCATTACACCAGTTCTCAACTGAAAGCAACTTTACTTTTCTCCTCCTCTGTACCCCCTGGCTCAGGGGATATGGCAATGTCCAGAGACATTTTCATTTGTCACTACTGGAGGGGTGATGCTCCTGGCATCTAGAGGGTAGAGGCCAGGGATGCCGCTAAATGTCCTACAGTGCACAAGCCAGCTCCCTGCAACACAGGATTAGCCAGTTTAAAATACCTATGATTTTAAAATTGAGAAACCCTGCCATACTGGGTACTGGGTTAGGAACTATGGGGAATAACATCCTTAGTAAACCTTGTTCTCAAACCAAAAATTCCCAACTCAGTTGTTCCAGAGAGCAAAGAAATCTGTTAGTGAGTTTGAGCACCCACCCCAATGAGTCATTGTTGTAATCTGGAGTGTCTCTATTACCTGTAATGAGGCTTTGTGTACCAAGCACAGGCGCCCTGTGGATGGTCAGGGATGTGAGGAGGACCCCCAGGTGTGAACCCCAAGATATGTGTTTCCAGACATTGCCTCTTCCCATGTGGGCTATATCCAGCCTCCCTAATGTGAATGATGCTGATGACAAACTTTTAGAACTGCAAAAATTCATCTCAGGACCTACCTGTCCTAGTGGGAAGATCCTTGTTCCCATTCACTCCTGGTCGAATTCCCTTCCTCATCCTAGACTCTGCAGGACCCTATGAACAGCCCTGCCCCTGCCCTGGTGCTTGTAGCGAGAAAACAGCTCCTGGCCTGTCTCAAGCAGGTTCTTTGGCGGACTGTGTCTGGACATCAAGAGGAAGCTACCCTGGTTCCTGAGTGACTTCTACGATGGCTTCCACATCCAGTCCATCTCTGCCATTCTCTTCATCTACCTCGGCTGTATCACCAATGCAATCACCTTTGGTGGGCTTCTGGGCGATGCCACTGACAATTATCAGGTGCGTGTGAGCTGGGGACTTCATGTGCAAATGTCAGGAAAATCTGCTTCCACCTGGTGACAGTAAGGAGCTTTATCCTGTTATCCCAACACCAAGCCTTAATGCACCATGCAAGTCCAGGTCATCCCCATATTTTGTTTGTTTGTTTGTTGAGACAGGGTCTCACTATGCAGTTCAGGCTCTCTTGAACTCACTATGTCACCCAGGCTGGCTTTGAACTACTCGAGGCAATCCTCCTGCCTCAGCCTCACCAAATGCTAGAATTACAGGGATTTACCTCCACCCTTGGCTCAAAACGATCACTATTTATAAGGCTTAATAATAACAACAGTAATTACTAAGGACCAAATTTAAGGTTGACATAAATAGATCGTACTTTAAAGGAGAATCATCTAGGAGCTGGTGAGATGGCTCAGTGGTCTAAAGCACCTACTTAGAACAAGCTTAGCAAAGCAAAGCACAGGGACCACGGTTCAATCCCCCAGCACCACATGCCAGCCAGCCCACCCCCTGGTGGGCTGAGCTGGCCACACACACATAAATAAATTAAAAAATTTTAAAAAAACTATAGATTTGGTTTAAAAAAATAAAGGAGAATCATCTGCTTTGTTATTTATTTGATACCTTTCCCAGTGATACTCAAGTGAATTTAATCAGCAAAATTATTTGTATTGCTGATTGTGGCCTTCTGCCATGTTTATTTTATTTTTTATTTATTTATTTTTGAGGCAGGGTCTTACTATGTAGTTCAGGCTGGCCTTTACTCGTAATGTATCCTGGGCTGGCTTTCAACTCATGGCAATCCTCCTGCCTGAGCCTCCTGAGTGCTGGGACTACAGGTGTGTACTACCATGCCTGGCTGCCATACTTCTTAAAAACCAACTTTGATTACTTGAGTTGGAGTTGAGACTTTTGATTACTTAGGTTGGAGCTGAGACTTTTATAGAAAGAGAGTAAGCTGCCATCATGACAACATAAGGAAAATTCCCTCTCAGCAGAGCCACTATCCAGTAGGCACTACCAGGCAGTCTTCTCCCCTGGATGCCTTTGGGGTAAAGCCATGGGAAAGTTCAGAGCTCTGAAGGAAAGGCCCATTTTCTCAGATAACTGGAGATGAATAGCCGTTGCCATGCTTCATTTCTCCCTAGCTTCAGATTCAGTGTCCAGCTACCTCCTAGGCATGTGGGTATGGCTGCCCCATGGACTCCCCCCTCACAGGCGACATTATCTTCCCTCCTGATCTGCCACTCATGGGCCTCCCCAGCACAGCACATGGCACCCATTCACCCAGCTGTGCACAGCAGAAACTGGGCATCACCTACAACTCAGAATCCCAGCATCCCCCAGCAGTCCTCATCGTATGGGCCTACTGCCTCTCTAGCCTCATCTAGAATCCTCTTCCTCCACATTTCTGCCCTTCTCACTCATGCTACACTCTGTTTTCCCTTGATTCTGATCATCTTTAAGTTCTTCAAGCACACGTTCCTGTTCAGCTCTAGACTTCGTACACACTGCTCTCTCCTGTTTTCTCTTCCTTCACTTTACCCTACTCTCCTGAGCACTTCACCCTACTCTCCCTGCTTTCCACAGGCCTGTGCCTAGGATGGCCTTCCTGATTATGCTGCTGGGTCCCTCAGCTCAGCACACTCCTGGATAGTGGCTCTCAAGAGAGGCAAATTTGATCCCAGGAGACATCCAGAGATAGTTTTGGTTGTTATAATCAGGAGGGAAATGGCTACTGCCATCCAATGGGTAGAGACCAGGGGTGCTGTGAACATCCATAATACATAGGACAGACCCTGAACAGGGGATTATCTAGCCTGAAACACTAGTAGCACCAAGGCTGAGGAGCCTTGCTGTATGGAAGTCGTTACTTATCTGTTTATCCCACCAGATGGGAGATGTGCTATCTTGTTCACTAAAAGGCCTCTAGTACGTGGCCCAATGCCTGGTACATAGCAGGCACTTCATAGATGGTGAATGAACGAATGATCAGACGCCAAATATATGTTTGACAGAGAAATAATGGTGAATGGCCTGTCCTCTGGGAATAGGATGGACAGAGACACATATCTACTGTTGTCTGTTGGCAGGCCCCAAGCTGCCAACAGGAGGCCTCAAAGGACATTTATCCAAACAGAATTAAAGAGAGGGATAGTGGCCATGTGGCAAGTTGCAGGAATGAGGTGGAGAGTGAGATTGGGGAAGAAAAGGCCCAGAACACAGGATGGACCCTTGCCTGGGCCCCTGGAGAACTAGCAGGTTGCAGCCTATGGGAGAAGACCCCCTTAGCTGCCTCCACTGTGCCTCACGCCTCTTGTCTCCTCCCCAACCCAGGGAGTGATGGAGAGCTTCCTGGGCACCGCCATGGCCGGCTCCTTGTTCTGCCTCTTCTCGGGACAGCCTCTTATCATTCTCAGCAGCACGGGGCCCATCCTCATCTTTGAGAAGCTCCTCTTCGATTTCAGCAAGTAGGTTCCCCCTAGTGTCCCCTGGGCCTGCTCTTCATTTGAGATAGCTGGGGCCAGGGCCGAGGAATAGGCCAAAGAGAAGGCAGGGTGGAGATGTATCAATGCCATCTTCAGATCTGAGAAGGGCAGCCAGTGGTTCCTGCTGATGCCTGCCAGCTACCTGCCTTTGTTTGTCTTAGGGCATATGAGCACAGCTCTTCAGAGAGCAATTCAGGCAAGGCAAGAGGAGAAAATTTACCTATTCTGCTCACAAGACATTATCATTTGAAAGGTAGGGTAATGTATGAAAAATTCTAGGGCCAGATGTCAGAGTGCTGTACCCAGACCCAGGAAACTCCAGCCATATCAGGGCCAGCTGCCTCATCCACAGCAGAGGTTTGATCCAGCCCATTTCCAAGTCCTCCAGCCTTGTTTCCCTTAAATCTTGTTTTGTACTCCCTGTAGATAGCTGTCTCTTAGCACCTATGTGAGCACAGAGGTCTCTTAGCATCTTCTTGCCACTCTCATTAGATACCTTCCACTCCCATGAGATGTCACAGTTCTAGACATATGTGCATATGTGGGCATATGTGCCACAGAGGAGAGAAATGAGCTGCTCATCGTGGGGTGTAGGGAGCAGAGCACAGGCAGGAGCTCCGGGCTGGAGGCCCCCTGGTTTCCCTCTGCCTTCCAGAGGCAATGGCCTGGACTACATGGAGTTCCGCCTCTGGATTGGCCTTCACTCAGCCATCCAGTGCCTTATCCTGGTGGCCACAGATGCCAGCTTTATCATCAAGTATATCACCCGCTTCACTGAGGAGGGATTCTCCACCCTCATCAGCTTTATCTTCATTTACGACGCCATTAAGAAGATGATCGGTGCCTTCAGGTACTACCCCATCAACACGGATTTCAAGCCTGACTCCATCACCACATACAAATGCGAGTGCGTCGCCCCTGATGCAGGTGACCGGTAACCCCAGACTCCCTGGACCCCACCCACTCCCTCTCACCTACCACAGCTCTCTACCAAATGCAGGAGAGGGAGCCTGAGTGGGAAGGGGCTGTTCAGACAGGCACTTATGTGCCATGGGAGCAAATTCAGGGCCTTAAACTCAGTGGAAAAAACACAACAAGGTTATGACCAGGAGAGCATAGGAATAGCTCAGGAAGGACTAAGATTTGCCTTAGCATGCGGTGAACTTCTGCCCACACCAAAGGTAGATGGTGCTCCAAGTCCCTAAGTCCCTGCAAGCCCTAGCAGTCACCCTCCCACCCATGCCACTGTCAAAGTGGCCCCATACATCTTAGGGTGAGGTGACCCCAAAGGGATAAGTATTCCTACAAACTGAAACATGCCAAGGTAGAGGATGTGCCTGTCATTCTGTCTGAAACTAGCTGGAGAACCTGGGGCTGTTGGGCTGTTCTATCACTTAGGAATATGAAAGGAAGATGGCCACATTGAGGAGTCACCTTTACCCTCTGTAACTGCAGGATATAAATAGCATGAAGGATGAGGCATGGGAGTTCCAGGGACCAGGTGCTGGCTAGGTTTAGGGAAAAATTAACAGAGCAGGGGTCACCATCATGGAAGGTGTCATCCTCTGTGGGCCAAGGGTGTTGTGAAAGGGATTCCCACTCTGGGTGGAAGGGGGCATGTAAGCACCATTCCTGCGGACTTGCTTTCTGGCTCCAAACCTGACATCCAGAAAATTAACCTGCCCATAATGTCTGACCTCTCTTCCTCCTTCAGTGATACTTGAGCCCCTAAGAGCCTTCAGTGGGATTTGCCCTCGGGGCCTTGGTTGCCAGTGTGGGAGCCAGGGCCCCCTTCACATAGCCTGACACACCTCACAGAGAGCAGCTTGAGGTCCAGAGACCACCCAAGGTCACACTAAACCTCAGTTTCCCTACATGTAAAGGAGGGATGTTAATGTTGGCCCTGCTTAAATCTACACTCAGATTGAGCTAAAAGAAGTAAGTAGATATTAGATTGCTCAGTCCCTTAATGTATTTCTATGGATGAAAAAATTGATCATAAGGAAATCAAAAATATTTGCAACCTAATTATCAAGGGTCCTACTTTAAGTTTTATGGAAAATAAAGATGACCTACCTGCAAGAAGCTTAGTTTTTGTTATGCCCCGTCTCCTTGTCACTGCACTGATTTTGGAAAGCCTAGACTTAATTTTTTCTTTCACCTTTTTCTGTTATTGATTCTGAGCACTCCTTGCCCAGAGCACTGAGCAGATCTTGCCCTCCCGCCCTTATCAGTCTTCTGCACAGCGAATGTGGCCTCCGTGGCTGAGCCCAGCCCAGTGCTCATGCTTTCCTTTGCACCTTCCAGACAGTGAGCACAGATTTTCCACATGTATGACTTTCAGAAGCACGTGTTCAGAAACACTCTTAACTTCCAGGCTCCTATGAGGAGCTCCAGCTACTCTGAGAATCATTTATTGGCAAGAGAATCCACAGCCAGGAGTGTCAGAAACAGGATGTAGGAATATTCAAAGTAGGGTAAAGGGGATGTGATGAAGCCATCTGTTTTCAAATGTCTTCCCCACTGTGCTTGCCCAGGTGCCTGATGTCACCTCTTTCTTTTGGCTCATGCTATTGTCCCAGTTCACAAAGTGCAATCCCCAGAGCAACACCACCCGGACCTGCAGGCTATCAGAAATGCAGATTCTGAGGCCTCAGCCCAGAGCTACTGAATCAGCAACTCTGGTGTTGGGTCCAGAATAGAGAAAGCCTTCCGGGTGCTTCTGGTGCACCTTTAGATTTGAGAACATCTGCTCCACTAAACTATTGGTTAGTAATACTGACCCATTACTAGCTACCAATCTATCAGATGAGACCTTAAGCTTCTTCACAGAAGTAAAGGAACTGGACAAGCTAGTTTTGACTGGGAGCATATGGAAAGGAAATTTCTAGACATCTAGAAGACTAGGGAGTGGGAACTGGCTAGTTTCTTCCTAGTCCATGGACCAACTACTTATTGCAAAACCCAGTCTAGATATGGCATTCTATCATTCTTTGTCACTTTTCATCATAACATTTGTTTGGGGGCACTCTCTTTTTATACCTAATTTTGTTTCCTTTGTAACTGATTTGTATTCTGTTTATGAATGCTGCAAACAATGATTTGGCTGCTTTCAATCCCAAGTGAGTACCACTTTGTAAATGCTAGAACCTTTCTGGAAGTTTCCATGTTACATTTCTTTCATCTTCATCTCAACTGGCTTAGGTCATTCCTGTGAAGCTGTCGATATCAAACACATTAAGAGGATATCTGAGCCAAAAATACTATATATTGGAAAATGTCTGGAATCCCGAGGTCAAGCACGAGCAGGGGTCCTCTAGCATTTGAGTGTATAGCCCCAACTCATCCTTCTTGCCCAGACTCTGTCTGTGGCTTTGATTGTGCATGATGTTCTCTTGGTCAGCATTGTTAAGAGAGGTAACAGATGTCCCTGATTGCTTTTAAATGAAGCTTTCTTCACAACAATACTAAAAATCCTCTAGGTTTATAGACTCTTAGGAATATTCTCTCCTGGCTTGAGACTGAGTTCCTTAGTCACCAGCCCAAATGCCCTGAATTATCAGTGTAGAGGAGACTTGGGGCCACATCCCACCCTGTGGATGATTTATTGGAGGTGTTGAGTGGAACCTCAAGAGTCAGATCTTCTCTCTGGGTTTCTAATCAAATGTGGACAGCAGCAGGAGCCAAATGGGGCTTGCAGTACATGTCAGGCTACTTGCCTGGACACTGGCTGGTGGGTTCCCCCACCTTCCCCAAATCTGCTGTAGAGAAACTACTCCCTATGCCTTCATTTCTAAGGTGAGGAAAAAGGTAAGGAGAGGCTGGCCTTCACTTTACCCTTAAAGCTGATAGGAAGAGAGAAGGAAAACTGGCTTCTAAAAGACCTTTGTAAGAGCAGCTGCATCCCCTGGGGAGCATGGTTCTGTGAGCCTGTGCTGGCCCCAGGCAAGGGAAGAAACAGGAAGGCAACAGAAAACAGAAGTGGAAGAATCCACAGGCAAATGAAAGGATGAAGATTGTGGTTCTGCCCACTGTCCTTGTGGACCTGAAGGGACCTCAGATGTACTTAAGGACACAGGCCCATGGACAGCATGCATTGCAAGGGATGTGAACAGCTGAGAGCCATACCTTTGAATTCCTGATGCTCCTCCAGGCCTCAGATACTTTCCTTGTTTTGCATTGAAGGAGCAGATTAGAGAATATCATGGCAAACAAGTTATGACAGGCCCGGTTGACCTTTAAAAGCACATATGGAGAGGGGCCAGAGAGAAGGGAAGTGTTGGTACAGGGGAATGGGACAAGGAAGTCCATTGTGCAGAGTGGGAGGTTTGTAGGCTCTGTTCTTCTGTCTGGGGAGGGCTTGTGACTGTGAGTAGGAGCTGTGTGACCTTGGGCAATGGGCAAGTTAACCTCTTTGGGCCCCATGACCTCATCTGTAAAATGCAGGAACTTTGTAGAGATTTGGTAACTTAAGTGAATATGTATAAGGGTTTGGCATAGCACAGGACATGGAATTAGTTCTTCAAAAATGTTTTTAAGTCTAATGGCACAGAAACGGGTCTGGTGGCCTGGATGGACTCACAAGGCACTTTAGCCACCCATGTGTCTCAGCACCAGTTTCTGAATGTCAGTTTTGAAAGCCAGCTGTGCATTGTCAGGCCACAGCCATCCTACACTGACCCAGCTGTTCTGGCTCAGCAGGGACCTGGGCTCCCTCCCACCAACTTTCCCTCCCCAGAGTAAAGTGAAGAGGGAAAAAGGGCTGGATATGACCTGATCTCACAATGGAAGCCCAGCCTTTGGCTCTAGGAACTGGGGGGAGGTAGGAAAGGGAGGCCTAGTGGAAGTCTCAGGCCAAGCACCCTACACCACTGACCCTTCCCTGTTGTGTGCTCATCCACAGTGAATGCAACTGTCTTCAATGCCTCAGCCCCACTGGCACCAAATACCAACAGTTCTCTGGTAAGTCTTTTCCTCTTAGACCAGGCCTTCAAGTTCTTTTTCTTGGTTTCGGGTGGGAGTTGGTTGTGTATGAAAAAAAGAGTTGGGAACAGCAACCCAAACTCTCAGAAGTTGGCTCCAAGGGCACCTGCAGAGCTTTGTAAATGCATACTGGTGTGTATACTGTGCACATCTCATTAAAAACTATACCTCATTTTATTAAATCCATGTACATAAATATGATACATATACATGAAGAAAGCAGCAATAAGGGAGAATGGTACACAAGGCTATACACACAGGCTGTAAACATCCTTTCTTTTTCATCTTTCCACCTTGTCCTTCCCTCTCCACTTAGGCCCCCAGGTCCCACCCAACAGTGTCAGTCCCCACTGATGATTAGCGCCCCACCTCCAGTGGCTCTGACCTGTCTTTCGCACTCTGCAAGGCCCAGGATTTTCAGGTCTCATTTGCCTTTCCCAGTAATGACAAGTAGTGGCTCGCAGAAGCCACCGTCCCAGCCCAAGAGGATCTAACAGCAGGGAGTTCAAATCCAAATGAAAAGTAGCACTGAGAAAGCCTGCTGAGGCTGCTTCATAAGTTACCTGATCGTTCTGCCTCTACATAGTCCAACTGGCAAATTAACCTAAAATTTCTCAAATATCAGGTTTTGAGGGAAGAAGAGTGGGCTCACCAGTACGTATTTCTTAATTCCTTATGTACAAGACACTGTGTACACTGAGAGCTAAAAAGAATCAGAAACTGATATGGGGCAGGAGTGTATCACAGTGGTAGAGAGCTTGCATGGCATGTGCAGGGTTTTAGGTTTAATTGCCAGCACTGTGAAAAATAAAAAAATAGACAAAAACACTCTCTTAGTTACTTTTCTCTTGCTGCTGAGACAAAATACCAAAATTCCAAAGTTAAAGGGAGGAAGATTGATTTAGCTCACAGTTTGTAGAGGTTTTAGACCATAATTGGTTGGCTCCAAGGCAAGGTGGCACATGGCAGAGGGGCAACAGTTCATGGTGGTAGAAGACACAAAAGCAACAAGAATGTAGACAAACCTCTTTCTGTCCCTTATATTATATCCAGTCTGCTGGGATTAGGGTGGTGCCAACCCAATCAGCAGGCTGATCCAACACTCACCCACCTTTAATCCCAGAATTGTACTACAAATTAATCACACACTGTAGATTTAAAAACAGAAAACCAAACCTCTATGACTACATGAGGCTTTGGAGGAACATCTAGACACAAACCATAGCAAACACCAAGGTGGCCTCTGTCCTCCAACTTGCTTTTTTTTTTTTTTT